TTTTCTATTTCATTTATTTCTGCTCTAATTTTTATAATTTCAGTTTTTTTAGAAGGTTTCAGGTTTTCTTGCTGTTCTTTTTCAATTTGTTGGAAATGTTGTGTTAGAGAGTGAATGATCATTTTTTCCTGCCTTTTGATATGTTTGCATATTGCTATAAACTGACCTCTGATTACTGCTTTGACTATTTACCAGAATTTTTGGTAAGTGGTATTTTCATTGTCATTTGTTTCAAGAAACTTTTTAATTTCATTTTTATTTCTTCTAGTACTCACTCATGTTTAAGCAAGATGTTGTTCATCTTCCAAATACGTGAGTTTTTTCTCTCTTTTATCCTCTAGGTATTAATTTCTAATTTTGCAGCATGTGGTCTGAGAAGATTCTTTGTATTATTTCTATGTTTTTAAATTTAATTATGTTTGCCTTGTGACCTAAAATGTGATCTATTCTGGAGAATGTTCCATGCACATTGAAGAAGAAGGTGTACTGTGCTTTTTGGGGGGGTGCATTTGCCTATAAATATCTATGAGATAAAGTTAGTTTAGTATATTGTTTAATTCTTTAGCATCTTTGTTGAGTTTCTTTCTGGTAGGTCTATCTTTTCTTGAGAGTGGTGTATTGAGGTCTCCAACTATTATAGTAGTGTTGTCTATTTCCTTTTTCAGTTTTGTTTATATTTGTTTTATATATTTTGCCAGTCTTTCATTTGGTGTATAGATATTTATTATTATCATGTCCACTTGTTCTATTGACCCTTTAAGTATTAGGTAGTGACCTTCCTTGTCCTTTTTTTTGTGAAGGTTTTTGCATTGAAATTTATTTTATCAGATATTAATATCACTCCTCCTACTTTTTTCTGGTTGCCATTTACTTGGTATATTTTTTTCTCATTCTTTTATTTGTAGTCTTTCTTTATCTTCACTTTTCAGATGTGTCTGTTGTAGACAACATATTGATGCTTTTTTTTTTTTATCCAATCTGCTACTCTTTTTCTTTTCAGTGGTGCATTTAAACCATTCACATTTAGTGTGATTATTGATAGGCAAGGTTTTATTGCTATAAATTTGTTGTATTCTTTTTGGTGTTGTTGCTAGTTTCTTTGGTCCATCCTACTTTCTGTGGCACCTCTGTAAGAAGGACATCTCTCATTGTTTCCTGCAACACTGGTCTTGTTTTTACAAACTCCTTTAGGTTCTGTTTTTCTGGGAGTATCTTGATCTCTCCTTCATATTTGATGGACAATTTTGCTGGGTACAGTATTCTTGGTTGAGTGTTGTGTTCTGTGAGTGTTTGATATATGCCATTCCACTGTCTTATTGCTTACATAGTGTCTGCTGAGAAATCAGTACTTAATCTTATCTGCTCTCCCTTATAGAGTACTCTTTGTATCTCCTTTGCTGCTTTCAGAATTCTCTCCTTATCTTTGATTCTAGCAAATTTGACTATTATATTTCTTGGTGTTTTTCTTTTGGGGGTCTATTCTATATGGTGTTTGCTCAGCTTCTTGAATATATATTCTCTCATTCTTCATTATGCCTGGTAAGTTTTCTTCTAGTAATTCATCCACAAGTTTTTTAGTGCCTTTACTTGCTTCTTCCTGTTCTGAAATTCTGATGATGCTTATGTTATTTCTTTTGATGGCATCCCACATTATTCTTAGGTTTTCTTCTTTTTCCTTCCTTTTTGATTCTACTTTTTGCTCTAGAAGATCAGTATTGATAATTCTATCTTCTAATTCACTGATTCTGTGTTCCATCTCTTCAACTCTGTTCATTAATCTCTCCATCATGTTGACAGCATCTGAAACTTTGGACCTCATATTTTGGATTGTGGTTTCTTGTATTTCCAGTGCCTCTAATGCCTTGTTTGTTTTGTCTGCATTGCTTTGGATATTTTTTTAAGCTTTCCCTTGTTTTTGCTTGCAGTGTCCTGTAATTCTTCAAGTTTGTCTTTCACCCACTGAAAATATTCAACCATTGTTCTTTTAAATTCTGTGTCAGATAGTTCCATCACACTTTCTAGCTTCAAGAAATTCACTATGTCACTTTTGGGGGGTAATAACTTGTTTTGAACTTGTGTAGGAAGTGAGGTAGTCTGCTTCTTTCATGGCATTTCTATGGTAGAGTTTTTCATGCCTGAGATGGTAGCTGTTCTTCATCTGATGTCACTGCTCCAGAAGAAGGTTGGGCAGGCACACGGGTGGACGCAAGTAGGGTGGGCACATATACAGATGCACATAGGGTGGGCACAAGTGCAGATGCACATAGGGTGGGTGCACATGTGGATGAACATCAGGTGAGCGCATGCACAGATGCATGTGGAGTCTGGGAGGGGTGGACACACATGTGCAGACCCACATGGGTGTGTGTGTGTGTGTGTGTGTGTGCATGCAGGGGGGAACCTGAATGGAAAACCAGGAAGTCTTTGTTTTCCCCTCTAGAACTGGGTTTGCCACCCCAGTCAAGCTCCAACTGCCTCACTCCCTCCTGCTTAAGATGAAGGGGTCCCACAATTGGTCCAATAATCAGCAGTGATTCCCCCCCTCCCAAGTACCTCACTCAAATTCTTGCTGTCCTACTTGCTCATGGTGGGTGGGTCCCACCATGAATCGTTGTTCCCACTGAGGCTTGCTGTTCCCCACCAAGGCTTGCCGCTCCCTACCAAGGCACACTGCTCCCCACCAAGACTCACTGCTTCCCACGAAGCAAAGCTGCTCCCCACTGAGGTTCTCAAACTAATTATTTTAATAATATTTCTCCCTCAAATTCCATGTGTCCTGTGTCTGGATTGCTCTTACACCTAGCTCACTCTTGTTCTTGGCTCTCTGCTGAATAGGAGTATTTTTATATTAATACTAATGTAAATTTCTCACTTTGTTTCAATTGTCATCTTGAGGGAATGGTTAATATTCTTGACTATACTTAAAAAGTATTGTAGAATCACTCAGCGATTGGACTCAAACCTATCTTAAGTCAGGTGATGGCTTCATAAACACTTGTTGTTGTTATTAGGTGCTATGCGGTCAAGTATAACTTATAGCAACTCTGAACTCTAAATATCAGATCTAAACCCTGTCCAAACCTGTGCTCTCTATCATATATGATACTCTTAATCCCATTGCTGCAGTCACCATATTTATCTATCTGGTTGGAGCAGCTCTTTTCTTTTTTTGATGATCTACTACCTTTCCAAGCAAGATATCCCTTTCCAAGGAACAGCATCTCCTAACAACATGTATAACGTCTGAGAGACGAAGCTCACCATCCTTGCCTTCAAGGAATACTCTGGCTATCTGTTAGTTCTTTTGGCAGTCCGTGAAATAGTCAGTGCTCTTCCACAACACCAGAGCTCAAAGGCATCAATTTTTCCTCTGTCATCCTTATTCATTGTCTAGCTCTTAGCAGCACAGCAAGCAATTGAAAAGACCATGGCTTGAAGCAGGCTCACCTTCATTTTCAAACTGACATCATTACTCTTCAGTGTTTTGGAGAAATCCCTGACAGTGACCTTGCCCAAGCAACATGTCTTTTGAGTTCTTCACTAGCAGTACCAAGGGTATACAAGCCTTAGAACTCAAAATAGTGTGTTTTTTAACAAGTATTTTACTGAATTATTATGACTTAGCTTAGTTCAGAGATAAAGAATTTATCTGACGTGGGCTCTGAAATTCAGTGAGGCAACTCATTTCTTTCAACTCATTTCTTTCAGACGTACATATTGTTTGTGGTTGTGCATAGAACACTGAACTTCTAGTTCTCCCTTTCAGATTTCTCTTTTCTTCAAGTCATTGCTATACTTGTATATATATGAGCTCTTCTTACTTCTTTATATTTAGAGAAAAATATACTTATGATACATCTTAGTTTATATTTTACATAACTGCAACATGGGGAGCTCTGGTGGCCTAATGGGTAAGGAGTTGCACTGGCAGTACAGGTGATTAAAATCTGCCAACTGCTCCAAGTAAGGAAGATGGGCAATCTCCTCCCATGAAATTTACAGAATCTGAAATTCTACTGGAGAGTCAGCTGTAATTCAGTTACAACTTGATGACACACCACCACAATAACAACAATAACAACAACATGAATTCTTCAGTGATATAAATTTTAACGTATCTTAATACCTTTGAGGGCTAATAAAATAATTGTCACACAACTTTTGCTCACTTAATCAAATAATCCAGTGTTCACATATATCTGAGTGTATTTCAGTGTCATTATTACAGTACCTTGTGAGTTTAAAGCATATTAGTCCATGAGAGCAGAGCCAGATACAAGATTACTCACTGTCCTATTTTGAATTCTTAAAATGAAGTTGTAAGCATGAAACTGATATGAGGACATTGAAGAAATAATTTATATGACAATTGCTTCTCCTAAACATATAAAATTCATTGCTATACATCTAGACAATTTTTGCAAGAAGTACACTCTGTAAGGGGTTATACCTGTAAACAATACACAGACATATCTTTATGGAGGAGAGAAGGAGAAGAAAGATAATGGCCTGGTTGGACATAATTGACAAGATTTAGTTTTTAACTCTATATACTTACAGTCTTTCAAGGCTGACATTTAAAATACTGTGGCCTTTCCCAACTATGTTTTGTAACTTTATTCATATTAATAATATAAATTTCCTTATGATGAAGGCATATATATGTATATATACATATACACACAATTACTTTGATAAAGTTAATATTAAGAGATAATAAATATAATAATTGCTGGATACATTTCTCCACTATAGAATGAATTTCTTTTTTCATATTTTGGATGAAGAGAACTAGAATAGTATAAAAACGTTAGAACAACACAGAGATACCAGATTGAGAAAAAAGGTAGGGTTTGAAGAGGAGGGATATAATTAAGAAATAACTTCAATACTAACTTGCTTTTCTCTTTGTAATTTTATCTCTGAGCTTCAATTCATTTTGGTATGACTGAGCCATAAAACATCTTTTTAGGAATTGAATGATCATAGTCTTGTTGCACTTATTGCCACACTTTCTTCAGTAATCTTTTGATTCCAAGCTTGATCTCCTGGGTTCGCACCCCATAAACAATGGGGTTAAGGGCTGCAGGGATGACATGATGAAGGACATTGAGCAAGATTGGCACATCAGGGGAGACTTTCCTCTTAGTCACATGAGTGAGAACAAAGACCAGGAGAATGGTACTGAAGAAAAGGATAAGGATGAAGTGGGAACCACAGGTTTTTAGGGCCTTAGCCACAGCTCCCTCTGCCTTGATTTTCAGCACCGCTCTCAGTATGAGGGTATAGGAGAGGAAGATAAGAATGAGGTCAGATCCTAACAGGGTCCAACCTCCAGCAAACTGGAAGAGGCGATTGATGGTAACATCATCACAGGAGAGCCTTGAGACAGACATATTGGCACAGATGCAGTTCTCAATGACATTTCTCTCACAGTAATGAAGCCGACCAGAAAGGATAGGAATAGACATAGCAATAAGGGTGTTTCTGGCCAAAATAAAAATGGCAGCCTTGGCTACAAATTGGTCAGTGATGATGGATGGGTATCGCAATGGGTGACAGATGGCCACATAACGATCATAGGCCATGATCATGAATGTACAAGACTCCATGCCTAGGAAGGAATTCATGATGAACATCTGGAGGAAGCAGGCAAAGAAGCTGATAGACCTGAGGTCAAACCAGAAGATGGCCAGGACTTTAGGGATGACAGTGAGACAGAGCACAATGTCCAGCAGGGAGAGGAGGCTGAGCAGGTAATACATGGGCTGGTGCAGAGAGGACTCCATCCAAATGGTGATAAGAAGAACAGCATTGGCTACCATGGCCAGGATGAAGAGGAAACTGAGTGGTAGGGACAGCCAGAGCTGCCAGCTGGGAGAATTGACAAAGCAGTTCAAGAGGAACTCTGAAACCCCTGAGGAGTTGGAAGCACTTACAGAAAAGTTCATTTTGTAGATTTTCTTTGTACAGCTTTTCTTTGGTGATCTGAAAAGTTAGGATTAAAATTAGCTTTTGACTTTCTACAAAGATAGAAAACTCAGTAGTATGCAATTTTTGGTAAAGCAGGTGATTCTGCACTCATAAGATGTTATGCATTATTTATAGAAAAAACAATTGGATTTTTTAAAAAATGCAGTTTTTCTACATATCTGAATATTTCTTATTTTGAATGATACCTTCTATAAAAGACAAAGTTTAATTTTAATTAACATTGAATGAGTGACCCTTACTATCAGGAAGTGTGATCCTGGGGAAAAGAGAACTGAGACACAATGGAGATTTGTACAGCTGATTCATAACAGTGTTATTCACAATAGCAAGAATATGGAAATAACTCAAACGTTCATTAACAAATGAATGGATTGGTATATTCACAGAATGAAACATTAGGCAGTACTCAAGAGCAATGACTGCAAAATATTGTATAGCATGGGAAGGGCTCAAGAGAGTTTTGCTGAGTGAATGAACTCAATCTCATTAGGAGAAATACTGCATAAAACACTATTGTAAAAATAGAAGGACAACTAGTTAGATATGTATAAATGTCTAAAGAGGGAAAGAAAGGAGGAATTGGGGCTGAGGGTGGGCAGAGGAGAAATCACAGGGTTACAAAATATAGTGGATGGAAGGAGAGGATGAAGGAATTAGGAAAGACCCAAGTGGGTATCTGAAACGATGGGTAATAGACATTGAAGAGTGATGATTAATTTTATAAGGCACAATGTTTGGGAGTGATCATATGAAACATAAAGTGAATGAAGGAATGAGGGAAACACAATGTATATGAATGAACACAATGTGCATGAATTTTATATGCCAACAAATATAAAATAAAAACAATTTTTTAAAGAAACTAAACCAAAACCTCTCATTTCTGTCCTGTCAATTCCGACTTGCTGAACTTCCAGTGAGTTTTTGAAAGCTGCAAATCACATAGGAGGGGATTGTTCATCTTTCTCCTGCATAGTCGCTGCGCCATCAAATGCCAAAGAGGTGCTGTCTTTGGGTTAGCAGCACATCTCTCTAAGAATATGCCACCAGAGCTTCCTATGATAAAATAGGACTCTTGTTTGCAGCAATGTGGAGTTGGTGAGATTTATCTTTACTACTTCCTCCCTGAATCCCTTTTTCATTCCCTCTACATTCACAACAAATACAGTTCCTTGCTGCTATTTTTCTATCTTCTATATACTTTAGATACTGGGCATTGTACCAAGTGTTTGTTGTTATGTCTCATCGAATCACCTGCAACTCATAGAGACCCTATGTGCAATAGCCCTGAAACTTGCTCTGTCCTGTGCCAAACTTATTGTCTCTGACACATCTACCCTCATACTGCCCTCAGTACTGAGTCAATCCATCTCATCAATGGTCTTCCTCTCTTTCATTGGCCTTTATTCATTCCAAGCATGATGTCCTTCTCCAATGATTGGTCTTTCCTTTCAACATGCCCAAAATATGTCAGACGAAACGTCAGAATCCTTGCCTCCAAGGAGCAACCTGGTTTCACCCTCTCTAAGATGAACCTGTTTGTTCTCCTAGCAGACCATTCAATGCTCTTCTCCAGCACTTAAGCTCAAATGCATCAATTCTCTTTCTATCATCTCTAGTCATTGTCCAGCTTTCTGATTCATAGCAAGCAATTTCGAAGACTATGGCCTGGATCAGGTGCACCTTAGTCTCCATACTGATGTCATTGCTCCTTAGTACCCAGTCCCAGAAGTCCATGGGCTGTGTCTAGGAGTTAAAATAGTTCTGGGGCAGAATGGAGGTGGATATACCAAGTGCTAGAATGACAAATAATAGTAAGATCTGTGCTGGCTTTTAAGATAGTGACCATCTGTTAGTGAGGATGCAGATAGGAGAAGTACAAGACAAAATCAGAAGAGCAATTACAGGGTCATATGTAGAATTCTTTGAGAATATAGGTGAAGAGGGATGCCAGTTGTTATTGAGTGCATCCTGATTCATAGTGACCACACAGGATGGATACTTCCCAATCCAGGCTGAGTTCCCAAGACTGTGAATCTTTGTGGTAGTTAATGGACACACCTTTTCTTGTAGAATGTCTGGTGGTGTAACTTTCAGTTAGCAGTTGAATGTTTTAACCATTCTTCCAAATAGATTCCGACTTTGGTGAGGATACTCTCTGCTGTCAAGTAAATACAGACTCAGAGTGACCCTCCATTGGATTTCTGAGGATGTAAATTGCAACATGAGGAGAGTATCCATCTTTCTTCCATGGAGCAGCTGGTGGGTTAGACCAATGGAGAGGTGGAGCTTTTGGGTGAGCAGTACAGCTTACTATGGACTGAGCACCAGAGCTCCGAAAGTGAGGATTGTTGTTGTTGTGTAACATTAAGTTAGAACTGACCCAAAGCTGACCCTGTAATAGGTTTTCAGAGGCAGTAATCACACAGGAGGAGATTTCCCATCCTTCTCCTGTGGAGCAGTTGGCGGATTCAAACCATGTGCATTTGGGATTGCAGCACAGATTCTTACTATTAGTCAGTGGGAGCTCCCTAGTTCCTGTAAATGACAGTAAAGTATTCCTAGGACTCTTTTCTTAATGAATTGCAAAGGGAGTCCAAAAATGGCAAAGAAGAATTGTCCTTGAAGGAGAAAGAGAACTTGCTAAAAATTTTAGCCAGCCATTTGGAGTCTTTCACACCGTGCTGTGTATAATCCTTATGTTTGCCTACATTGCTCTGCATAAGTGTCAACCAATGTGTGAAATTTACTCTCTTCAATAGGTATTTGAACATAACTGTTGCATATCCATTTAGCTAACTGGTAATAATAACAATAATTATAATAATAATTTAACTTATAGATATAATAACAATGAAATATATAATAATTATATAATAATAATAATAATTTAGCTAAACATTATTACAGGGCATTGTGTCTCAATACTTAATAGGCTTTATGCTAAAATGTCACAGGATCATTTTCTCAATCATTAAAACAATTTTTTTTCATTTTTAAAAATTTTTTATTACTTTTGTGCATGTACCGTCAAATCAGATCTGACAGGTGCAGGAGGGAATTGCCCCTCTTTCTCCGGCAGAGCTCATTAAAACAATTTTGTGACACAAAATTAGCAATCTACCTAACACCAGGAACACACTGATAGATCCTGATAGAATGAGAGCAAAATTTGGAACAGAACTAAAATTCTTAAAACATTCAAATTTGCTCAGCCAATTGAGACTAAAAGACTCCCTAAAACAATCATTCTGAGATATAATATACACTTTGAGCAAAAACTATTCTATGAAGTCATCTTTTGATTCAATGATAGATTGGTTCATAAAATAAACTGTATCATCCAGGAATAATGTGTTTGCTTAAAAATAGTCTGTTTCAGGCAAAACAATCAGCTTTTTCTCTAAAATAAAGATAAGGCAATGGAGCAGGTAAACTGGAATGCTTGAAATGGAAGAGCTAGAATTGAAATTTTATCCTCTGTAAAAATAAAATGAATGTCACAGAATAATTGGAAGCCACTGACTGGGAAAAAGTATTTGGTAATAACATATCAGATAAGGGACTTATATCCAGAATTTATGAAATACTTGAGCACCACAACAAGATAAAGGTAAATAATCCAATAGAAAAATGGGCACAGGATATGAACAGGCACTTCACCGAAGATGACATTCAGATGGCTAACAAACACATGAAGAAATGCTCAAAATCCCTAGCCCTAAGAGAGATGCAAATTAAAACAACTATGAGATATCATTTCACCCCAGTCAAAATAGCAAAATTTAACAGAACAGCAAGCAACAAATGCTGGCGAGGTTGTGGAGAAACTGGAACCCTGATTCACTGTTGGTGGGAGTGTAAAATGGTGCAACCCCTGAGGAAAGCAGTATGGCGCTTTCTCAAAAAGTTGCAAATAGAGATACCATTTGACCCAGCAATTCCACTACTGGGAATATACCCTGAAGAGACCATAGCTGACATCCAAGCAGATATATGCACACCCATGTTTATTGCAGCTTTGTTCACAATAGCAAGGAGTTGGAAACAACCTAAGTGCCCATCAACAAACGAATGGCTAGAGAAGCTGTGGTATATTCGCACAATGGAATACTATGCTGCATTAAAAAACAAGGAACTCATGCAATATTATTCAAAATGGTTGACTCTGGAGAACATTATGCTGAGTGAAATATCCCAGTCACAAAAGGACAAATATTACATGATGCCACTGTTGTAGAATGGGACTGTCCTTGGGGTTGGGGAGAGACTGAGTAAGATGGGTTCAATAATGTATACTGCACTGAAACAGAGGAGGGAGAAAACTGTTTAAAAGAGGTATATAACTAGGTATTTCTGTCATCACAGGAGACTAGAGCGAGGGCTACATGGTGGAGGGGACCTGGGGGAGGGTTTGTAAAACAATGAAAGAATCTTTTCTTTTACTTTTCCATAATTTTTGGACTCATGTACTTATAACTTGTTAGTCAAATTTGTGTCTTCTAGGTTGCAACACCCCCATGATACATCTTCAAGGATATGAACATGTACGGCCAAGCACAATCAATAAGAGTGCGTCTAAATTCCAAAATCAATCTCCATAATAGTCTATGTGTTTCCTACTGCCAAAGGGGCCCTTTAGAGTAGTGAGAGAAGATCTTCACCCTGAAACCCACAGCGTCTCTTTTCAGCAGGAAGTAGCTAAGAGAATACGCCATCCCCTTTTCCTTATGACTCAGGGTGAAGTCTCTCTCAGGGAGGAGTGATAGGGAATGGCAAAGGACACACTGACAAAGAAGATTAATCAGAACTGGCTTTGACAAGCACTGTGGCATTTGAACAAGAACAAACTGGGAGGAGGGTAGAGAGAATAGTGCAACAATGAATGAATGGAAACCCAAAATCTCTGTAAATGTTTATGAAAATTAATAAAATATAATTATAGAAAAAAAAATAA